CTTCAATATGCTTGGTGCGTTCATGAAAAACAGGATTTTTGGCAATATGCAAAGCAGCCCGATTGTCACAGAAAACAGAAATAGGAAGAGAAACAGATAGTCCAAAATCAGACAACAGTCTGGAAAGCCAAGTGAGCTCAGCCACCACTTTGCTTAGAGCCTTGTATTCAGCTTCAGCGGAAGATAGGGAAACAACTGGTTGTTTTTTTAGATTTCCAGCTAATGAGACAGCCACCCAAAATAACACAAAACCCTGTGACAAACCTGCGAGTGTCAGGGCAAGCAGCCCGATCACTATATGAATAGGCATGGATAGAAAAATCAGGAGATGCAGAGTAAAACAAACCCAAATCAACAGTCCCTTTGAGATATCTCAACACATGGAATGCAACAGTCATGTGAGGAACCCGGGGACTCTTCAAAAATTAACTCAAATGTTGTACAGCAAAACATATGTCAGGTCAAGTATGAGTAAGGAAAGACATCTGCATGCAATTGCAAGGAACCCAAAAGCAATGATTTCAGCAGTGTCATCCCCAGTGATGATGATATCATCCACATAAACTGCTAGAAGAACCAGGTTGCCAGGTGCACCCTTGATGAACAAGGAATAGTCAATAAGTGAGTGAGTATATCCCCTGGAGTAGAGAGCTTGAGACAGCTTGGCATACCACTGTCTTGTTGTTTGTCTTAACCCATAGAGAGACTTTCTAAATTTGTATACAAGAGGGGCAGAACCAGAAGGAACAGAAATAGTCAAGCCCTGAGGTAACCTCATGTAAACTTCCTCATCTAGATCTCTATGAAGGAAAGCATTGTTGACATCTAATTGAGAAAGAGACCAATTGTGCTGATAGCTACAGCTATTAGGCATTTAACAGTGGACATTTTAATGACAAGAGAAAAGGTTTCTATGAAGTCAACACCCTCAACCTGAGTATCCCCCCTAATGACAAGTCTAGCTTTATACCTCTCCACATTCCCATCAGCTTTGTACTTGATTTTGTAGACCCACTTGCAACCTATAAGTTTTTTACCAGAAGGTAGGGGTACAATGTCCCAAGTATGATTATCATCCAATGCATCAAATTCCTTTCTCATGCATCCGCCGGATATGAAGCATGATGGAAGAAATACTTATCTCATGATGTGAGATGAAAATTAGGAATTAACTTATGTAATAGAGTCGATCCACTAAAGTCTTGAGCAGCGGTGTAGGATCAGATCCCAAAGATAGTAAGTATTTTCTTTCTTATGAAAGAAAGTCTTTTTCAAGGATTCTATATAAATTTATCTATGAAACCGAGATAGTTACTTTTCATAAAATTCTAACACTAGTAGAAATGCCTATGCTTTATTCTTATTCATCCACTGAAACTCATAATCCAGTTACCCTAAAACTGGGATAGATCCATGAGAAATCCCATTAGATTTTATTAGATATGGTATAGATCAAAATGGGACACCAAAAGAATTGACTGCTGAGCCGTATGAGGTAAGAAATTCTCAAGTACGGTTCTAAGGGAAGGAATTGAACTACCTATTCGGCCAGGGAGAACAGGACATTCAACAGGGAGATTCTGAAATTGCAGAGGCTTGGTTCGATCAAGCCGCTGAGTATTGGAAACAGGCTATAGCGCTTACTCCCGGTAATTATATTGAAGCGCATAATTGGTTGAAGATCACGAGACGTTTCGAATAAAGGAAGATCCCGTTTATTTATTATCCTTTATTTATATTTAGAATCTTAGTCTATTATTTTTGATTTTTTTATTTAGAATTTAGATATTTGTTATAATTTATTGTTTGTTGGACCCATCAGATCAGTTAACTAAAAAACGGATCATTCCTTTGCTTTTGGAAGACCCAATCACATAATTTCATTATCTCCCTTCTAAGCCTTCTATTTCATCTGCTATTTTTTAGGATAAAAAGGATACACAGATAGAGTACAAAATAGACTTTGTTTATTATATTAAATTAAACAAAATTCCTATTATTAAAACTAATAAAATAAACCCTCGAATCACTAAATATATATAGCGGGGATGTCTCTTAGTAATGTTTAATGGCTACTTGCGTGATTTGGAATAGAGTAATTAAAATCTTCTAGGTAAAAAATAAAAGAGCTCCATCTAATAACTTCTATGAATATACACTAGGTTGCACAAAAAAGTCGTTTTGGATCAATCCAAAGCCCAAAAAGGTTTTTAGAAGGTTAAAAGGTCCGTTGAGCGCCTCAAGCATGTAACCTTGCCCCGGATCGACTTCCAGATCATAATTGCTCTAGTAAATAACTAAAGAAAATAGATAGATGGGAGATAGAAAAATAGAACAGAAACAAACTAATTATAGAAATATCTCTCTATCTCTCAATGATTATTCGTTCGCCGGAACCAGAAGTTAAAATTTTGGTAGATAGGGATCCCGTAAAAACTTCATTCGAGGAATGGGCCAGACCGGGCCATTTTTATGGTAAGAGATTATGATCCAACTACTCGGTACAACGATCTATTAGATCGTGTCCTTAGACATCGTGATGCAATCATATCCCATCTCAACTGGGCATGTATATTTCTAGGCTTCCACAGTTTTGGTTTGTATATTCATAATGATACCATGAGCGCTTTAGGGTGTCCTCAAGATATGTTTTCAGATACCGCTATACAATTACAACTTTTTGAATAGATACCGCAAACTAACTACTTTTTTGCTACAAACACAAATAAAATAATTGAACTTAGTGCTCTACTTGATTTTGCTTGACTTTTGATTCAAAGGAAAAAAGGCGTGGAGCTTAATTAACTCACTCAGAACGCTTTTTAAAAGATTACGTGGTACAATTAGGTCGAATAAACCCTTCTGGAATAAGTATTCAGCTGCTTGTGAACCTTCGGGTACTGTTTTATTCAATGTTTGTTCAATTACTCTTTTACCTGCAAATGCAATGTAGGCATTGGGTTCGGCAATAATGATATCCCCCAACATACCAAAACTAGCTGTCACTCCACCAGTTGTCGAAGATGTAAGGATTGATACATAAAATAACTTTTTATTTAATTGATAATCATATAAAGCAGACGATATTTTAGCCATTTGCATCAAGCTCAAACTTCCTTCCTGCATGCGTGCCCCCCCAGAAGCCATCATTATGGGAATGTACACGCGGTAGAAAAATTACGTCAATCCATTGAAATATGGTATGCTACAAGTGAATATTTGCGACAAGAAATGAATCCTAATTTTAGGATGACTGACCCTTTTAATCCAGTTCATATCTCGGGAGCTAGAGGAAATGCATCTCAGGTACATCAATTAGTAGGTATAAGAGGAAGAAAGGAAGATGGCAAATGTGACACTACAAGAAAAATGCTCAATAGCAAAGGGAAAAATGGTCCCTAAAAGTAAGAAATTGGTCCCAAATGGTTAATAACGACCAGATAACCTGGTCCTTATAGCTTCCGCCGCTAAAGGTCATTAAGGACGAGATACAGTACTGGTCGCTAAATCTGTTTCGCGACCAGATTAAAACTAGCCCTAAAAGGTTTTTAAGGACCATATTTCTGGTGCCTATTTGTATGTTTTAGCGACTAAATTCCTGGTCCTTAAACTATATTCGCGACTAGTTTAAATGTCGTCGTTAAAACATTTCACGACCAGTTAGAAGCTGGTCGTTATATCTTTTCGGAGAAATTTAAAGCCAATCCCTAATGTCTAATAGGTCAGCGCTACAAAGCTACATATATATTTAGCAATCAAATTTTCTACTCCTAAAAAGGATTTAAGGACTAACAATCTAGTCCCTAAAGAAACAAGTTACAAGTCCCTAAATCGCATTCAATTTGCAACCAGAAATCGGGAATATTAATATATAGATAATGTTGCTTTCATAAAATAATACCAAAAATACTCAACATCAGTTAGTCAACTGGACAAAGATTTCTCGAATAGGCCAAACTTAATTTTCTCAGAAATTCAAGCAAACAAATTTCTATAAAAGTCAACATTCTAATTAGCGAATTCCTATATTCACCACTTATATGAAGATATGATTGTGACATGTTTGTACTTTCTTGCTATGAAAAGACTAACGGAGCAAAAGCACGACAAAAAGGTTCAACAAAAGAAAACGATTTCTGATTCAATGGGGGAAAAAACACAAAAAAGAAATTTTAAGAAACAGAACAGAACAAATAAACAGAACAGAAGGATCTTTCCACCCATCGAACTAAAACAATTAGTAAATAAGTAAATTAAACAAAATCAAATAAACAGAACAGATTTCTGATTCAATGGGGGAAAAAAGCACAAAGAAGACATTTAAAGAAACAGAACAGATCAAAGAGAAAGAAATTAAACTTACTCTTGTTTGGGCGGATAAACCAATAGTATAATTTGTGTAAAGTACTTTGGATTAAGGCCTCCAAAGAAGAAATTAAACAGAGTACGTTCTGAACAGAGCTCTCAACCTCTTGACGACGAAGTGGCGCCTCGCTCTTTGCAATATTTCTGAGTTTTTTCACCTTCTGAATTTTGAAGAAGTTAGCGCCGTTTTTAGGGATTTTGAGCTTCGTCGTCTCCTCTTTGCAACCTTTCTGAGTTTAAGTTTTTGTAACCTTCTGAATTTTAGCTTCGCCGTCTCTAGGGATTTTAGGTACGGTCGAATTTTACCTTCTGAATTTTGGAGGATCGATCGATTAGCGGCCGCTTCTCTAGGGATTTTAGGCTGTGTATTTGAGAGATTTTAGGGTGAAAAGAAAATTTGGAGGGATACTGTGATTAATTTCCTTTTCTTTCTTTTTTTTTACTTTTAGTTTTCGTTAGTTCCCGCGCCCCCTATCCCGCTAAAAATCCAATATTAGAGACCATATATTAATTTTTGTACAAATCAAAATAGGACTGGTCGTATAAAATTGCATATTAAAGATCAATAAAAATTCTCATCCCTATAAGTACACTTTTAGGGACCATATTTAAAACTTGTCGCTAAATGTTGGTCCCTAATAAGGCTTTTTCTTGTAGTGTGAAGAAACAATAGAATTAGGAGAAACAGGAGAAAAAGGAGAAGGAGGAATAGGAGGAGGAGAATGAGAAGAAGGAGAAGCAGGAGGAGTAGAAATAATAGGATCCTGATGATTGATAGAAGAAGGTGAAGAAGAAGGTATAGTGGAAGAAACAGAAGGAACAGAAGTAGCAAAAGGAAAGCATGTTTCATGGAAAATCACATCTCTGGAGACAAAACATTTCATAGTATTTAAGTTGTAAAGCTTGTATCCCTTTTTAGCAAAAGGATAACCTAGAAAAACACATGGAATGGCCCTAGGTTGGAGCTCGTCTCTTTGAGGAATAGGAACAGTGGCATAAGCTAGACAGCCAAAGGTCCTTAAGTGGGAGTAATTAGGAGGTTGCCTATATAGAATCTCATAAGGTGACTTGTTTTTAAGGATTCTGGATGGGATTCTGTTCAACAAGTATGTAGCAGTTAGAAGACAATCTCCCAAAAAGTGGCAGGTAGTTTGGATTGAAACAATAAGGCTCTACAGGCTTCAAGAAGTGTTATGTGTTTCCTTTCAATAACCCCATTTTATTGTGGGGTATATAGACAGGTAGTTTGGTGAATGATACAAAGTTGAGTGAAAAAGGAAGAACCAACATTGCTGGAGCCCAGTTCCAATGCATTGTCACTTCTAATAGTTTGTACCTGTGCATTGAATTAGGTTTGGACCATGTCTAAGAAAGCCTTGATCATAGGAAAAGCATTACTTTTTGATCCCAATAGATGAGTCCAGGTGGCCCTGGAAAAGTCATCAACAATGGTAAGAAAATACCTTGAACCAGAGGAAGTAGGTGTATGATATAGTCCCCATGTATCAACATGAATCAATTGGAAAGGTCTGGTTGTACTAATTGAACTATCAGGAAAAGGAAGTCTAGTTTGTCTAGCCATAGGACAGACAGAACAAGGAAAAGACTGTCTAGAAGAAAGAGAAGAAGACAAAACATGAATATGTTTCATATTTGCAAAAGAGATGTGTGCCAATCTTTGATGCCAAATCAAATTCATATCATTCATAGCAGCATTATTACACAAAGAAGAACTAATATTGGAAACAACTTTAGGACTAGAAAAGAAACATCTTTGCAAGATTCAACTACAGGGCATGTGGAAGTAGTGTTGCATAAATTGGAAGTAGGAAAAATTGAAGAATCTTAATGTTGCACCCAAGTGAACTTGTACAGGCCATCCTCTTCTTTACCAAGATCCAGAGGCATCTTCAGAGAAGGGGCCTGTAACATGTGCAACAAACAAGAAGTAGCAGTGGATAACACTATGTAATGTAGTTGCTTGATTAGTTCATGAATAGAAATTAAGTTGTGTTGAAATGAAGGGACAAACAACACATTATGAAGTATGATTGATGGAGTTAGAGCAAAGGAACCAGTGGAGGTCACCTTCACTTTGTATCCATTAGGAAGGGTTACAAGGTAAGGAATAGTTAAAAGTGTAATATCAAAAAGCAATTCTATAGTAGAAGTCATGTGATTAGAAGCACCTGAATCTATTATCCAGGTGACATAATGAATTTGAGTAAGCAAGCAGAGTTTAGAATCAGAAACTAGACTTTCAGTTAATAAAAGCAGATAAAAGCAGAACACATGAGATTGGCTTGAGAATTGAAAGCATCCCCCATATGAGACTGTTGTAATAGATTGATCAACTGATCATATTGCTGCTTGCTCAGACCTGGGATAATGGATCCCTGACCATCAACATTGGAAGCAGGATTGGTTACCTCATCCAAAGTCCCAACAGATTCAAGAACATTACCCTCAGAGTTAGTGTGTGCTGCAGTAGATATATGAGCTGCAGCCTTTTTACCCTTGTTAAACTTTGGACTTTGTGGATACCCATGGAGTTTATAACACTTGTCGACCAAATATCCAGATTTCTTGCAGTATTTACAGAACAGAGGTGCTCTATTCTGATCAAAGTTAATTCTTGGTGCATATGGTCCGGGAGGAGTAGAATTGGAAGTTGCATTAGGATTGAAACCAAAACCAAAAGCAGGCTTAATTTGTTTACTTACATTGAAGGACATAGAGTTAGGATTGAATTGAGAGTTGGACTGGACTTGCCTCTGTTTTTCATCATTAAAAAGGATGTTATAAGCACTATCAAGGCTAGGAGAAGGTTGCATCATAAAAAGATTACTCCTCACCCCCATATATGTCTCATTCACCCCCATATATGTCTCATTAAGTTGATGCTAGCCCCATTATCACATAGGGCTCTTGCGAAGTCACGGGCCCCAATGGTACAAGGAATGGTAAAAGCTCGGGCTCGAATAGGTGGAAGAGCGTTTGGGCTCTCTCTTCCCGGTTCTCCTTTTCCCTCTTCGTGTAGCCTCCCTCTCTGGATTTGCAACCGTGTCACTAGGGAGTGTTCCCTTTTGTTTTGGATTTTGCTCTTTGGAGAGGTCTCTCATTTGCATCTCCAATTTTTGGATGGAGGCGGTATGAGATCCAACAACCTCGATCATGTTCCTCATGGAAGTATCAGATTTTTCTTGATTTTGCAACACTCGCTCAAGCATAGCTTCCAACTTAGATTCACTAGAAGATCCTTGGCTTGAATATTGACCCTTTGGAAGAACATAGGGGTTTGAACTCCGGTTAGAAAAGTTGTTGTTGTTGTTCCAATTCCCTTGGTTTGATCCACCTTGGTCATGTCGCCATTGTTGGTTGCCTTGCCCTTGCAGGTTCGGCCTCCATTGACTTTGCTGCTTGATGTAGTTCGCTTCTTCAAACTCTTCATTGGAGATGGGTGCACCTCCTCCACTACATTCACCGTTTTTGTTTGATTTTCCATAAGCATCTTCGTCAACACATTTACATTTGTGGCCAGCCCTGCGCAATTATTTGGTCCCTCTCTTGATTCTCCTTGATCAAGTTGGTCAAGGAAGGAGAACCATATGCGATTCCGCCTGAAGTATCCTAAGAATGCCAAGCTTGGTTATGTTTTGCCATCTCGTCAAGTATTTGTGTAACTCTTGCAAATGATTTGTCCATAAAAGATCCGTCCGTCGCATTCTTCGCTATAGCTTGGTTCATAGGATCCAAGCCCATGAAAATTTCACTAGAAAGATGGAATCTGGAAAACCATGATTGGGAGACCTCACCAAATATAATTTGAACGATCCCATGCCTCATGTAAGGACCCCAAATGATTCCCAAAAGTGAAGAATATTTTTGTCTTGGAATGTAGCTCAAAAAACTAGACAAGATGAGCCCACAAAAACCTAACAAATATATTTATAGTGTACTGAAAATCGGGACAGAAAACGGACAAAAATGCCCTTTCAGGTCAAATATGCGACCGCATTTCTATCACAAATAGCAAATGCGGTCCGCATTTTGGACGTTCTCATCGCATATTGAAACCCTAATTTCCAGGCCTTCACCGCATTCATGTTATGCGATCCGCATTGTAGAAATGCGATCGCATTTTTCATCGCACTTTCTTCATTCAGCAGCCCTCATGGTTGGTTTGCGGTCCACTTTGCGGCTCGCAAACAGGTTATGCGGTCGCAGAATGGACCGCACTCTTGACATTGAATTTTGCTCATGAGTCTGTTGTGATCTGCGATCTCAGTGTCAATTATGTGGTCCGCATTGTCATTCTGCGACCGCATATCTTCCTTTGTGATGCTTTTTTTTGCTCTTTTCTTGTCTTATTGTAACTTTTTGCTTTCATTTCCATGCTCTTGGGTCCTTAAACCTCATGTACTGCAAAAACACTAGAATTATATAAATGAAGGAGATAATTGCATCTAAAATAAGCTAAAATCTAAGCAATTAGTATTGAAATGTGCCGAAATTCTCCGGCACATCAGCTACTACTGTTGTCCGGTACCTGGATCTGTGCAAAAGAGCACCGAGTGTAGTATCAGCACAACCGACCCCATGTGCTGGTAAGTGCCTAGCCTAACTCCGGCGAAGTAGTGACGAGGCTAGACAGGACTACCACATAAACCTGTACAGTTATATATATATATCTACATCGGAAAATAACAAGAATGACCATTTTAAATGGGAAGGGAACATGCTTCGGGGATAACAGATAATACAGAAATTCAAGAGAATAATAAGGAACATCAATAAATTATCTCTAATACGGATAAGGAAAATAAAAGCAGATTTCACTGTCTGTACACATCTCGTTGCAGGCGTGCAACCCGATCCCATTTCTCAATGTTCCGGTGGTAGGCGTACCACCCGCTCCCATTTCAGCAAATCTCGTGGTAGGCGTACCACCCGCTCCCATTTCATTATATCAACAGTTCTTCCAAATGAAATTTACTCTAATAAATGCAACAATTAATACGAATTCATAAGACAACAAGTACACAATAATTATGATTCACTGAGGGAAACAAATAATGACAAGTAGCAATTAATTATGGGCTTTAAGGAGCAATTAGGAAATTTAGTATTTAATATGTCGAATGTCAAGTAGCAATTAAGTCACATAAACATGTAGCAATTATGGCATAAATTCAAGGCATAACGTTGCACAAGGATACCTTAATTCAATAATAACAAGTAACACAATAAAGGGAAATGTCAACATCGAGAATCACAGTAATAGTAGAATAAGACAATTAATGCACTTGAACAGTTAGCAATAAGAAATCATAACAAACGGCAATAAGTGCACGGCATCACCCTTCGTGCTTTTACTCTCATCCTTACCAAGCAATGATATAATAAAATGTGCACGGCATCACCCTTCGTGCTTTTACTCTCTTTCCTCATATATAATCAATAGAATCGGCACAGAATGGTACATTGTGCGGCACGGCATCACCCTTCGTGCTTTACTCTCTTTCCTCACAATAATCAAACAATGCACGGCATCATCCTTCGTATTTTACACACTTTCCTCACCATAAACAAGCAATGCACGTCATCACCCTTCGTGCTTTAACACTCTTCCTCACCCAAACAACAATCACAAACAAGAGGCAAGGGAATAAACAAAATAATAATGGAAATCCCAGCAAGGGAACAAAATTAAACATTTAAATCCTGACAAGGGTACAACATCAATGATCTTAACGTTCCGGCAAGGGAGAATAATCAATAAACAACAATATCCCGGCAAGGGAACAATTTAAATAATCTTTCTCTTCCTTTCACTTTCATTTCATATCTCACTTTACCACTTGAGCCAATGCTCCAAAGGGTTCAACTATTTCATATACGTTCACAATTGTAATATGACTTGAGCCAATGCTCCTCGTTGTTCATAGGTTACAATTCCTCTAACAAGCTTTTCACAACAAATAGGAATCATCACCAAGGCAAGAGAAATAAACCGAAATCAAGATATTCACAAGTTAAAGACTCACGGTCATGCTAGACACCAACGTATAGATACTCGTCACCATGCCTATATGTCGTACTCAACAAGAAGCAATTAGCAACTAAGACTCAACTCCTAGTCCCTCAAGCTAGGGTTAAACCAAACACTTACCTCGATGCCTTGAATTTCACTCAAACCTCAACTATAGCTTTACCCCGTGATTCCACCTCCAATCCGCTCGAATCTAGCCACAAATTACTTAATTACTTTAATAAACACTAAATGAATCAATTTGAATGCATAAAAATGAATTTCTCAAAGTTTTGCCCAAAAATTCCAAAATCACCCCCGGGCCCACGTGGCCAAAACCTGAGGTTCGAACCAAAACCCGGTTACCCATTCCCCCACGAACCCAAATATATAATTTGTTTTGAAATCGGACCTCAAATTGAGGTCCAAATCCCCAATTTTAGAAAAACCTAGGTTCTACCCAAAACCCCCAATTTCACTCATGAAAATTATTGATTTGAAGTGGAAAACATGTTAAATGATGTTAATGATTGAAAGAATTGAGTAAAAATTAACTTACAAATGATTTAGAATGAAACTTGTTCTTGAAAAATCGCCTAAGGAGTTTGGGTTTTGAAAGAATGGTGAAAAATGGTTCAAATTCGACTAAGTATAAAATTTGCTGGGCCTCAGATATGGAATTGCGAACTGGGGTTCGCAATTGCGAACCCCGACCATTTATGGCAATTGCGAAGCTGGGTTCGTATTTGCGAACCCTTCCCATTTTGCCAGTTCTCGCATTTGCGAAGGGAAAAGTCGCATTTGCGACCACCCTGCTTTCGCATTTGCGAACACTAAGATCGCATTTGCGATTAGTGGCCAAAATCCCATAATTCGCTGTCACACCTCCTTTTTACACACCTACCCCGAAGGATAACGTATAAAGGGAGTTTTTTCATTTAAAGTGACATTATTCGAAATGGGATTATTTATTGATTTTTTAGAGTCGCCACTCGGGAAAGGACAGGTTTTTGGTGTCCCGAGTCACCGATTTAGTTTAAATCCCAAATCGAGGAAAATTTCGACTCCCAATTGGAGTCTGCGAACCAGAAATTCTGTGTAAGGAATTCTGTTGACCCGAGGGAAGGTGTTAGGCACCCCCGGATCCCGTGGTTCTAGCACGGTCGCTTAAATTATTATAATTGGCTAAAAATCTGATTTTAATACATGTTTTAACTTATGCGCATTTTAAATTAAAAACCGCTTTTATTTATATTTCTTATAAGACTTGCAACATTGTAAAAATGTATCTCAAACCACGTCGCACCAGTACGCCCATGATTTTTGGCACATTTCAACCTTGTTGAGATTTGGATTTGGGTCACATAAATGTGCACCCGTAGTTAGGAAGGTAAGATTATTAAACTACTGTGCATAAAGTAGTTTTGTATTTGCAATTTGCGAGGGCCATGGAAATTCGCTAAATGGCACGCCTCGATTTCTAAGGATAGACAAGATTAATTAAACGAGGGCCATTCAATTGTCACTTTTGTTTGGCATGACGCGCCTTAATTCCAAAATAACAAGGTGGCCAAATTAAGCTTCCGAGATTTTAATTAATAAAACTATTGACCGAGATTATTTAAGCAGACACTCGCGATCCACACTTCAAGTAATCGGGTGATACAAGGGCAGTGACGAAGCACTGGGCCAATTATTAAAGGTCCAGGGTATGAATTCAGCCCAAACGTGACCCAGGGAAACGGGCCTCAGATTTGTACTTTGAACGGGACTGCATCTTGAACCCTTGAAGGGCCCAAACTTATTTTAATTTAGAAAATAGTTTCCACATGCTTACGGCCCACACAAAAG